TACTACAGGGAGGTATTGGGCAAAGGAAAAACACACACACACACACACACACACACACACCACATATACACCACATACACCACACACACACACACACACACACACACACACACCACTTGAAGACTCAGTCTGTAATCCAGCCTGGTCTTGAACTCCTGAAATTGTTGAGAACAATCTTGAACTTCTGATGAAATGATCCACATGAGACATTTACTGACTGATACCCAATTAAGCCAATTAAGAGTATATAAGTCCTTTTGTTGTTGTTTTGTTCTTTTGTTTGTTAGATTGGTTGGTTTTTTCAAGACAGGGTTTTTCTTGTAGCCCTGGCTGTCCTGGAACTCACTCAGACTGACCTCAGACTCACAGGGATCTGCCTGCCTCTACCTGTCCTGGGATTAAAGGCCAGCTCCACCTGGCTACAAATCCTTTTCTTAGCCAGCAACCAAGAGCCAGCTCATGCCTCAGAATCTCTTGGTGCTGAGGCCCAGGGATGCAGCATTTTAAAAGACAAAACCCACAATTACCACGGTGTTCGAGGGGGGCAGAATGACATCTGTCTTTTGGCAGAGTTTAGCAGTGTTTTCCTAATACCACATGACTTTAATCCCAAATGCTGGGATTAAAGGCCTGCACCACCACCCAGCTGATCCCCTCCCTCCCTCCTTCCCTCCCTCCCACTCTCCCCCTTCTCTCTCTCTCTCTCTCTCTCTCTCTCTCTCTCTCTCTCTCTCTCTCTCTCTCTCTCCTCTGTCTTTTGGGACAGGGTCTCATGTATCCCAGGCTGGCCTTGGACTCACTCTGTACCTGAGCCTGGCTCCTGCCTGCATTTCCCCAAGTACTAAGATTACAGGTCTGTGCCACTACACTTGGTTTAAACTAAATCTTTTTCCCCTAGAATTTCCCATGTTTTTCTGCACTCCAGGTGAATCAGTAGAAAGCCAACACAGTTATAATTGCTAGGTTATCTCTTCAGAAACTGAAGCTGGTTGCTTACTTTCCTGGGCAGGTATTTGAGGTGTGAGGTCACAGAGAGTTCTCTGCTCTGTGTTCCCCCACCTTGCCCCTCATCCCATCTCTAGCTTCCTCGTGCTTTCTACATTTCACTTCTTTAGGGCTCCCCTTTTCGCATAGCATTCCAATCCCCACAAGCTAAAGAACTTCCTGTCTCATGTGTCTGAGAGTCATGAGGATGGCTTAAACTGTCGAATGCCTTAGGCTCTTTCATATCTCCTTGTCCGTGTAATCATTAATAGAACCAAAGAAAATTGACCCTTAAAGCAACAAAGGTAGCCGCAAAGTGCATTTTGAAAAGGTTTTTGCTTTTTACCAAAAGACCTTTATCTTAAGCATTCTTGGGCTTGGAAAGTAAAAGCTCAAGTGTTATTTTGGGAAACTCAGAGTAAAACTGAAAAATAGGCACGTGCCTCCTCTCACCGGCCTTCTCGTGACTCGCCAACATTCTTTCCTTAGATCCTCGTACCTGCTGCTGTCTACTTTGTCTTGGTAGGGAAGAATTAATCTTTGTAATTAAAGAAATAATCTTCATAATTGTCGTTTAGGTGTCTAAGCAAAATCTCAGGGTAGAGTTGGTATTTTTGCCTAAGCCTCATATGGAATCGCTGGCATCTTTTAGGGCCCTAGGCCTACTCTACAGCAGTTTTATTATTTATTTGTTTTTGTTTTGGGGAGAGTGGATCTCACTATGTTGCCCAAACTGTCTAGAAACTCTGGGCTCAATGACCCTACTGCGTCAGCTTCTTGGCATCAGTAGACTACAGCTGATTAACAATACTCTCGACCTAACAGCATTCATTTAATTTTTTCCATGCTTGGGATTGAACCTCATGCATGGTAAGCATGTGTTTTATCTCAGAGCCACACCCCCAGCTCCAAAAGCATTTCAAATTTGATCTTTTTTTTTTTTTTTTCCAGAGCTGAGGGCTGAACTCAGGACCTTGTGCTTGCTAGGCAAGCACTCTACCACTGAGCTAAATCCCCAGCCCCTCACATTTATTGGACAATGCCTCAGTTCTGCCAAATCTTCTGATTAATGGGTATATCTGCTTCCTAAGGTTATTGTGAGAATTAAATGAGTCTGTATTTACAAAGCATTTAGAAAATCTCCTGGCACAAAGTAGAATATTAATCATTGCGCTCACCTCTCTCCCTTGTTTTTTTTTTTTTTTTTTGGGGGGGGGGGTTGATGCTTTGCTTCTCTAGTTGGCCTGATGTTCACTAGGAGGCAACCCTCCTGCTTCAGCATCTTATTACTAGGATTACAGGTGTGAGCCACTACACCTCACTTTCTCTCTTGTAAGTATTGGAACTTAATTTCTCAAGGTATTTCTCAGAGGGGAAGTGTACTTGCTCCATTTTCCTATTTGTGGTACCTAATATGGTTTGGTTCATAGTAGACTTTGGCTATTTATGCGGCTTATGAGGCATTATCTAGTAGGCAGAGCCCCATTTCTGACCATGAAGCAAGGTGGTGGATGGAAAAAATAGCTATGACTCCCTAAACATAGACATTAGAAACTGGTAAGAGGCAAGATGACCAAGGACAGAGCATGGAAAGAAAATAAATGGACCACTGGGAAAAGGCAGGTGTCTGGCAAGAGATGAAAGTTAAAAAAAAGGAACTATAGGGCCATGAAGATGGTTTAGCAGGTTAAAGCGCTTTCAGGCAAGCTTGAGACCTGAGTTCAATCCCTGACCTGAGTTCAAACACATGACCTCCATGCCTGTGCCATGGACAAATGCACACAAACACACCCAATAGATAAATTATTATTATTATTATTATTATTATTATTATTATTATTATTATTTTAAAGACCTCTGAGAGGATGTACTTTCAGGGAAGCCACGAGAAAGGTTCAAGGGAATTAAAGTTAGTCCGGACAGGCTTTCTTACAGGTTAGTGTAGAAAACGTTTTTGTTTGTGGTTAGCAAGCAGCTGACTCTGACGTTTGCTTTTTTTTTTTTTTTTTCTTTCAAGTGTCTGAGGAAGGAAGTGACAGTCATTGTGAAATCATTTTCTAACACAGGATTTCAGTTGTGGGTCCCTGTCTGCCTTGCCAGGCAAGTCGGAGGAGCTGGGAAATGTGGATATCGTAGTCAGGTCTCAGAAATGCTCCTTCTCAAGAGAATTGTAATGAAGTGACATCTTCAATTACCATATGCAATAGAAAAATCCAAATAAAATGTTCACTGTGTCCATCATTTTGTTCAGGCTTGCAAAACAGGTTTGGTAGTATTTTTTTTTTTTTTTTTTTGCCAGGCCGACAAAATTATCAGCAGCAGTTTTTTGTTTTGTTTTTTAATCTGAAATATCTCGTTGACTACATTTGAATCTCAATAGAGTTCCGCCACCCACGGAAACTGACTGACCAGTTCTCCGAGTTCCTCCTGATGGTTCTGGTTATTAACACCGACTCCCTGCTCCTCTCTAATGGGGGGAAAGGGAATTCTATTAATATTTGAGAAATGAGCTTTTAAAAAATAGTAGGCAGGTATCATTTTGCATTCAAAAGATATATGAGGAACTGAAAACTCCTACGTGGCCACATGGGTTCACAGGAATCTACTAAGCAAGATTTAAAAATAAAAATTCGCATCACATGGTCTTCTGGGTCATTTCTTGTTATTTGTATGAGTGTAAACCCTATAATAATCCTGTACTTTGTAAGTGGGCGAGATCGGTGTAAGTTTTAAGTCGCTCTCCAATCTGGGGCTCAAATATTTTCAGGGGTCTAAGAATGACAAAGGATGCGTGTGTGTAGAGAAGACGAGCTTTGAAGCCTCCTGCAGCTGTCACATCATTCTGGAACACCCATTTCTCTCACGCAGCTTTCTTCCAGAAAAGGTTGTGAATTGGTTCCCTGGGAAACAGAGATGGCAGGTAACGTTGCTCGGAGGATTATAGAGAGAAAAGATTCTGACAGGCTCAGAAGCCAAACACTTCAAAGAGTCACACGCCCAGCCCTGACGATTCCAAACATTCCGGGTTAGGAATCACAACGCCGGAACAAAGATGGCGTCCGCACAGCAAGACTCGCCCGAGCCCCCTGGACTCTGCACTGCGGCAGCCCGGCAGGGGCAGCATCCCATTGGTCAACTGAGATGAGGTCATCTTGGGGGCGGGACTCGGCCGTGGCGTGGGGGCGGAGCCTCGCTTGCGTACGCTCCTCGGAACTCTGCTCTGCCGGAGCCGGGGGCTTTGCTGCGGCGGCTGCGGTCGCAGCGGCGGTGCAGGCCAGAGGTGAGTGAGGGTTGTGGAAGGCGCGTCCCGGAGCGGCCTTCACGGGGACACAGGGACGCACTCCGATACCTCGGCCGCTTGTCAGAAGAATTCGCAGGGGTCTTAGGTCTCCGAGAGAACTATGGGGGATTCATCCCCCTCTTCAGACACCCTTCCTGTGGGCAGAGGAACCGGAGGGGCCACTGCCCCGGGAGGACCCGGGAGGGGGAGGCGACATGATAGAGGAGATCGGATAGGCAGAGAGAGGAATCCGAGGGGATTTCTTAAAGGGTCTTAGAATTTGGGGATTTCTCCATTACCCTGGAGACAGGTTGTGCCTGGTCCAGAGAATTTCTGCCTTCTCACTGTGCAGTTCCAGAAACGAAGCAGGTAAATGCTCCCTGCTTGGAAGGAGAGATTGGAAAACCCGAGCGAGATAGAATCCTCCAGGGAGGACCTTGGGTTTGGATCCTCCCCCACCCCACCCCCCACACTTTTGCAGAATTATTCTTTGTTCGTGTTTCATTTCGCGACCCCCAGAAACCGCTTTTTCCAAATGCGTTTTGTGTTTGGTTTCAGTGGGGGTTCGAGAGAGTCTTAGAGAGGCCTGTAATCATGAAGGAACAGGAGGAGGGCGGCAACTCATTAGAGGCTGTCATCTCTGGCAGCTCCTGGTCTATGCCGATCAGACATGATTTCATAGATTTTGAGGTTGTGGCGTCTGTCTTCGTTCAAGGTGGAGAGGACTGGTAATAGCTCCTGTGGGTGATTCAGATATGCAGTCTTAAGTCAACCCACATAATCTCTTGAGAAATCCTTGCTTTAGTAGAGTGTTGTCTTGCTGTCCTTGAGAACATCAAATGCAGAAAGGATTTGCTGTTCGCGGTCCTCAAAATGTCTTCCTGCCTTCCCGAAGAGCAAATCTTCTCTGAAATGTCAGTCTCACCTGTCAATCAACATGGAATATGCACGACCTTACGACATTAAGAATAATGTAGTGTATGATCTGCTGACATTAGATATTGAAGACCGTGCTGTACCTGAGCTGAACGTGAGCTTATTGAGAGTAAATAATTGCAATTTCAGTACCACTGATAGCGCCAGCTGCTGACCTGAACGGAAGTCTTCCATGACTCACAGGGGAGATGGGACAGATGTAAGAGGCAGTTGTGTTGAGGATGGGGATGAGACAGAAAGATGCAGAGGTGGAAGGCTTTTCCTCCGGCTTGTTAAAAGTGCTTTGTCATTACCAACGTGTTGCTGTCTTGCCTGAGTTGAAATTGAGCTGACTGCAGTGAGCTCCATTGTCTTTTAAAAATGATGTTTAGGTATTGGGATTCCTTAGGAGAGGAACACTGTTTTCCCAGGAGTTTGGAAGCTTGATCTCTTTAACCATAGCTTTATGATAGTACTGGGGATTTTGGATGTTGGAAGTGGGTATTATCAGTCAAGGAGGGAAATCGAGGCACGTCTTTTATATAAGAGGGTAGTTAAAGTCTCTTGTTTCCTACTCACAAAACAAAACAAACCCAACAGGAAACAACAAAGAAGACCCTTTTTAGCAAGAAAATTCTGTCAAGTGTGAAAAATCAAATAATAACAACAAAAGCCCTGGGTTTGTTGGTGTATTCCAATAATCCCAGCACTAAGGAGGTGGAGGCAGGAGGATCAGGAGTTCAAGGCCAACCTCTACTACATGCTGAGTTTGAGACTAGCATAGGTTATATAAACAAAATAAAGCCAAACCTCCAGGTACTGTGAATGTCACTGTATCATATTACAGGGCTCTTTGGAGTTCCCAGCTCCTGTCCTTAGTCTGCATATATGCCTTTGCATTGTGTTGCCCCAAATACTGTCAGTCAGTCCTGATGTTAATTATAAAGGAAGTGACTCTTTGTCTAGGCTCTGTAGTCTGGGATTTAATAATGACTTTTTACAGTTTCTCTTGTGCACCTTTCTGAGCCAGATAGCAAGACTTCTCACAGGGCACACAACAAATAAAGAACCTCACCTGGGTTATTGTTTGTCTTGGTCCCGGAGGTTAATTCTCAAGTCATGTCATTTTCTCTCTTGCCCCAGATTGGAGTGAGCCACAGATACTTGCCCACTACTCTCTGCCAACATGGGGGAGCTTTTCCGGAGCGAGGAGATGACGCTGGCCCAGCTCTTTCTACAGTCAGAAGCTGCTTATTGTTGCGTCAGTGAATTGGGAGAACTTGGAAAGGTTCAGTTTCGTGATGTAAGTGGAAGCCAGACTGCTTTTTGATCACCATCGAACTGTTCTGTTTGTTATGTTTAACTGTCTTTTGTTTGCAAAGTAACATCATAGTACTGGCTCAGTGTTGGTAAACTTCAAGTTGTCTTTTGTCTTTCTGGAGCTAGAAATGGTTCCAGCCAACCTGTCTATGGTTTTCACTAATTCTTCCTTGGACAGACATCCTTAGCTGGGTAGGGTGGTTCATCCCTAGAATGCTATCGCTGAGGCAATAAGATGATGAGCCTGAGCTACAGAGTGAGACCTTGTATAGAAGAAGGCGGCAACAACAACAAAAAACTCCAGACAAAAACAAACTGATCATGATGGATGGCAAATGGCCTGAGATTCCTGCACTTTGGAGGTATAGGAGTATTATGAATTCAAGGTCATCCTTGGCTATATAATAAGTTTGAGGCCAGCCTGAGCTATATGAGACCTTGTCTGGGGGGAAAAAAAGAAAAAAGAAAACTATTTTAAATACTCTCAAGGTGGTTGTTAGGAATGCTGGCAGAGGATGCCACACTAATCTTTTACTTTTTACTTTATTTGGGTCTCCTTAACATCACAGCCTGATATTTAAGACAACAACAAAAACTGTAGTTTTTCCATGCAGTGAGATCTAAAAGAAAGTTTTTAACAAAATCTGAGGCAGCTATATACATAGACAAAACTTATGTAGTATGTAAGTATATACTAGTAATTCACTGATTTGGACACTTGGAAAGGATCTCAAAACAAAAAAGACAGTCTAAGATTTTTTTTTTAAATATGCTCTGGGAGTTTATAATTTGAGCAAGAAGATACTGTGCATGCACATGAAAATATGAGTAGTCAGGACAGTCCCTGACTCAGCTCCTGCACTCTCAGAGTTCCACGCACTTTTCGTAGCATTCATCATGGTCGTGATTTCACATTTATCCATGGAGACAGTTGACTAGACTCCCTCTGCACAATAATATAAGCCCCATGAAGACAAGGACATTCTCTGCTGTTACTCATG